ACATTAGGTGATTTGCGATTAGCAGGATAACATAATTTAATCTATTGACATGTATTTATAAAATGTTAAGATGTTGAAAAATCGATTTAATTTTGAAAAGCAACCAAACAAATTTCTCCGTGGGAAGTACTGTTTTCTGCTAAGTTTGTATTTCCCTCTCCAAAAAGGATTTAATGAACATCTACTGAAATAAAATAAACTCCTGGGCTTGAGAGTTAGGGATCAGGATGCCCCGGAGCCAGTACCATTGACTGGAAAAAACAGAAACAGTAAACTTGAAGGTAATGCACACAGGACAAGGGAAACGCTGCAGCCCCCAGCGGGCATGTGTGGCGTTTCCAACACACTTTATTTTTTGTGAATATATTTCTCGGTTAAATCTCTGACTCATCTGTTCCAAAAATAACATTTTTCACAGATTTTTTTTAATTCACAGAGTGAACTATAACAGCTCTGCACCTCTGGTCAATTGAGAAAAAATGGCTAAGACTGCTTACCTATATATCAGGAGGACTGAGAATTTTTGCACTTCACATTCCCTGTCAGTCTATGTTTTTTAAAGGATCCATACCACTGTAAGCTAAAGATTATTCTTTTATTGTTTTCCATTTCAAAGAAAATGTTCTTTCTAGAATATAACAAGAAACCTCTTGCTTGCAAAAGGTTGGGTTAAAAAAAAAATTAGTAAGAGTTGCTGAAAAAGTCGATGTCCTATGTTCTTCAAATAATTCAATGAAGAATAATAGTTAAAACTGTTACAGATAATGTACATATTTCCTATTGATAGGTATTATCCAGGCGATTTTATTTTCTATATTTTCTGTAATTTCTTATGGATAACAGTGAAAAAAAATGGATATATGACATAATGAAAAAACCCACAGACTGATACTTAAGAGATCTGGACACACTTGATCACTAATTAATTATTGACGAGCTACTTAAGGTTTTTAGTAAAGTCTGTAGGCAAACAGTTGAGAGCAACCTTAGCCCTGCTGGTGATGAGTTTAAACACCATGGTGTACAGAGTACCTGTGAGATGCCCCACGAAATGAGACATTTCCAAGGAAAACAGCTTAAAAGGAAACCCCAATAGAGAATCTTCCCTCTAAAAATAAATACATTATTTCCTTTAAATTGCTAAAGAAACAAGCAAGGCACAGAGCTATAGGAAAAATAAAAATAAAATGTTATTATCAAGAAAAGTTCTACATGTACAGTCCATCAAATTCTCCGAGTCACAACTGGAAATATTCTGCTTACTATGACATTTTCTAGATCTCTAAAAATGGTACATAACATGCATGTATATTTTCTATGCATTAAAAGCTCATAGTAAGCAAGAAAATACAGAGTCATTAAGAGAGCTCATGCTTCACTTCTTTCCTTTATTTTTTGCTTTAAAAAAAGTCTCACTAGAAATATTCTGCATCCATACACAAACTTTGGAAGTTAGGTGATTTGAAAAATAACTTCAACCTAAGTCTTCAATCCAAACCTCTTTGGATTAAAAAAAAGGTTGAAATTTAAAAAGATTATTTTTAATTGGTAACTTTTGAGCTTCTTTGTTTTCTTGCTTAGGATTCATTGAGGGTACAAAGAATTAGGTTACACTGATTGCATTTGTTAGATAAAGTCCCTCTTATAATTATGCCCTGCCCTCAAGAGGTGTTATGTATACTATGACCCTCCATCCCCCTCTCTCCTCCTCTTTCCTGCCTCCCTCAGTCCCCTACCCCCCCAACCTTGTATTAGATCTACTGCCTTCATATTTAGAATTGAGTACATTGGATTCTTGCTTCTCTATTCTTGTCATGCTTTACTATGAAGAATGTGTTCCACCTCAATCCAGGTTAATACCCAAAGAAAAAAATCATTTTGTCATAAGGACATTTGCACTAGACTGTATATTGAAGCTCAATTTACATCACCAGATTTAATCTTGAAATATGCAAAACTTGAACTTCATTTTGGGAGAATTTTCTTGGTTGGTTTAATGGCTAGGATAAGGGAGAGTAAGAAAAATAATGACAGTCCTATAGCTTGTAAGTGGTAGTGCCCAGATATTTAACCCAGAAATTCAAGCCTGATCATTTTCCACCAGAGCAGGATTGCACCTGATCACATAAACAAAACATCAAAACATTCGTTGTTCATTCATTCATTAAGCAATATCTGGTGAGAGGCTCCCCCACACCAGATACTATTGTGAGAGCTGCGACACAGTATGAGCAAAGGACAGAATTCCACCTCTGTGCTGGCGAATATCCAACAATGGTCTGAGGAGGGAAGATGATGGGAAAGGGACTTGTCATATTTACTCATTTCCATAATGTAAATACTCCTATCATGACACATTTCAAGCTACTAACGTGAAGTCGTTGAACTTGGATTTGGATAGAGATGTGCATTTTCAACCTGTGGGCCTATGTGAGCTGGCTCCAGCGAGACACTGGGGAAAATTCCTGAGTGCAAAATGCATTCTTGTGGAGGACAAGCATCACACCAGACCTACAGCATACATAGTATGTCAGATACTAATTAATGTTAGGACGGGGAAAAAGCAGAGAAGTTGGGTAGGAAGGGGCAATTTAAACAGAACAGTCAGGAATGTCTCCCTTAAAATGACAGTTGAGCAAAGCCTTGAAGGTGATGAGGAAAGGAAGGAGGCCCCACCTGCAGGGAGAGAAGATGAGGACTTCAGTATTTAGTACAAGGATTTTTACCAAGTGAGATGGGAAGACATTGAATGGTTTTTCTGTTTTGTTTTCTTTTTAATCAAGAAGTGACATGTTCTCACTTATATTTTTCAAAGATCATTCTTGCTGATGCTTTGAGAATAATCTATTTGAGGG